ATGAACTTTCAAAATTAGTTTAAAACTTGATTAGTAAATTTTAGAGCTGTAAAAATAAATTAAAATTGTAACTACTTTTTAAAGATCAACCAATCATCCTCAAAAATATATTACAATGTTTTTACCGCTTAGAAACTTAATGACTAGATTAATCTTTGACAATCCTATTTGGTAATTATTCTTGACTGATTTTATATTTCACCAAGAAGTTAACAAACAACTAATTTTGACAAATCTGTTTAGTTGTTTACACGATTATAGTGGGACAAGAAGTGGAAATGTTGTTAAGATCAAGAAGCTTTTTCTCTTTGAAGGCAGGATCTTCTAACAACAAAACTTTGTCTTTATCTCCAACACCAACCATGTGTAGATATTCATCATTCTCTCTTTCTTTTCCTTTGAATAATAGCCTTTGCTGTTTTGGCTCTAATCCAGTAAGCAATGATAATACCATCTTAAGTTCTCCTGTAAACAATAAATAGAACCCTATGTTAAAAGCGGGATTGGCAGATTTAAATCACTTATTGATGTAATATAAGAGTTGAGATGAATTTATGCAATCGAGGTTTTTATTGATTTCTATAAGATGTAAATGTTTTGGTGCTATTTAATGATGGATTTTAAAGAATTTTCAGAAATATGATGTTGCTAATATTTATCCATTTCATTCAAAAGTTTGTTTGACACCATATTTATTTGTTTCATTAAAGATAATTTGACACTGAGTGGGATTACGATTACGACTGTAAGCTATTGATTTAATTTTTTGACTTGGCTGTAGAAAATAGACTACAACTTGAAAAAGAAGTTAAAGTCCTACTTCGTTGGCTTTAAAATAAAAATGAAAAAGAACAAAAACAAATTGGGATGAGTTTTTGTAGAAGTGCTTTTAGGGTTGTGAGGTGATTAAAGCTTGATATGATTAGAAATCAACTTTAAAGATTTAATACTTTTTTAAAGGTCTTTACAAACTTAAAAGTTCATTTACGAATTGTACTCATTAATTCTTTTCTATACTTAATGTTCAAAAATGTTTTTTTTTTGTTTCTAAATACATAAAGAATAAAAGATACTTATAGTTTCAAATGATCTTTTGGTAATTTAATTTTGTTTCTTTTTACAAGCTTGCATAAAGATTAAGAAGTGTCGAGAGATGAGAAATTTACCAAAAGTGGAGGTGGCTTCAATGGAGAGATCATGAGAATGAGCAAAAGTAGAGACTCTAATGGAGATTAAGTCTTCACCAATGCTTTCTTGTCTCTTTTGAACAAGCATACCTCCTGGCCTAAGCTCCCATTTGATCTCATAGTTGCTGCAGCTACTACTACTATTGTTGTTGTTATTATTACCAAACACCTTTTGTTGCTGATCTTGTTGTGTGCCTTTGTTGTTGATTCTTTTACCAAATCCAAATCTAATCCCAAACCTCTTGGACTTGAACTTCATCATCTCTTTCTACTTTGATTTCTTTGGAGGGCTTTTTGTGTGTGTTTTCTTTTCTCTTAAGCTTTGGGATACATAAAACATGGAAACATTGAGATGGTTTATATAAGAGACAAGGTTAAGATAAGGACAAAACCACATACATACTTGCATGTGCAAGTTGCTTTTTTACAAACTTATATGTCTTCCGCTTTTTAATATTTTTTGTTTGTGTTAAGTAGATTAATTATGTGGAGTCAATTAATATATAATAAGGAAATAGCCATGAATATGTGCCGACAAAGTATAAATCAGATTTTAAATAGGATTGATCGAGACAGTTAAGAGAAGAGTTTGAGCACATGGGCGATGGTTCGACTGCTCATAAACAATGTTTCCTTGATTGAAGGACCGAACAACC